AACGATACAAAAGAACTTCGTAGTTCTGAAAATTTTGTCATAGTCTAGAAGACTAATAATATTTGAGAAAAATGATGGTGTGCTATTGAAAACAAGAAATATATCTATAAGAGTGATAAAGAGTATGATCACATTGTATCAGTGGAACTGATAACTAAAAGGGCAATAATCTTGGGGCTTGACTATTGAATCATAACAAAAGAATTAGTAATAGCCCTATGATCAATATGATAAAATTATGAACAATATTATAATATGACTAGAAGTCATATAGACAAATATGTATTAGTTCATTGAAAAGCAAATGTTAAAGAAAAATGGTTGTGGAATCAAAAAGACCATGTGATATTATGAAAATATCGAAGCTAATTTTAATGCCTGAAGGCAGTAAGTTGTGAAGAAAGATAGATATCCAAAGTATATATAAAAATAGAAAACATATAAGTATATGCCTTGAAGGCTATATGTATAATGTTTAATTTCTACCGGTCTTTAAATTTATCATGATTTGTGATAAACAAATTGTTATAAGAATTTGATATTGTGATATTGATAAGTGTGTGATATAAAACTAAATAGATCAAATAGACCCAAAAGTTACTAGTTATATTTTGTTTATTTATATCTTATTTATATGATCTGATTCAATATTAGTTTTGAATATTTTAAATGTTTATAGTACGCTGATTAATATTGAAAAGTTTTGAACGTTAAGTACTTTACTTTTAAAAGTTTATTTTAAATGTTCTTCATCATTTTTGTGTGTTTTCTATATGTCTTGCAAGTTAAATCTATGATACTCATAATTATTTGTTATTATGTTAATGATATATTAAAATAAAGTTTTCTTTCATATTCTTTTTAAATTATATAATTCTTGAAGAACTAGATGTAATAGTATTAATATAGTTCTAAAAGAACTAATGCTGTTTTTTTTATAAGTAGACAAAGTATATATGAATTATGAAGTACTTGGGCTTCCAAGCAAAAGATAGGTTATTGACCTTAATCCAACATATGCTCATAACTGTTTATGAAATATATGAATAAAGGAATCATGTTTGAATGACTCAATCTTGAAGGAGAAAACTGTTAGAATACAAGTATGAGCTGATATTGGATATATTTTTCATAAATGGATATCATCAATCATATATTATATTGAAAAGTTTATTATTGGTAACGAAACATAGTACAGTAAACCAGAAGTTTACTGATACAATTAGATTTATTGTTGGCATGACTTGTTTGATCATCTTAAACTATATAATTATTGAAGATTATGTATTGATATCCATTGAAGAACCAGAAGATTCTTCCAAATAGCTAACATTTTTAAGAATTCGTATGTGCTACTTGTTCTCAAAGAAAATTGATTATAAAATATCACTAGTTATGTTTTGTTTTCGAATGGATCACTACATTTCTGAAAATATATATGGGCCCATTTAGAAGTACATAAACCATACAAGTATTCAATATTTGATAGATGCATCTATATAAAATGGTAAGATGTGTGATTGATATTAATTTGCAACCTGAAGTTTGCAAGATTATTTAGATAAATATTTTCAAACTATGTGATTCCCAAAACTTGATTTTAAAGATGCTAGTGAATTTATATATCAGGTTTTTAATGTTGAAAAGCCTGCTTAACAAATTGATCTTGCAAAATCATTTGTTAATGCCTCCATGAATAGCTTGATCAATATTTATGAGAACAAACTTTTTCATTTTAGTGTTGGCATATTTGATTTAATATATTGTAGCACTTATAGACATCAAGGCAACAAAATTCTCCCAATAAAATTGGTTTTGGTTCAGGAGCCAGATATTTTTTATCTAAAAAATTAAATATGCAATATTTATTCCTACCAATCCACCACAATGCACATAGATGGATATTAAAAGAAAGTTGGGACATATGTTGGGTAAGAACCTCCTTCTTCTTGTTTGTCTCTAAATGGAACAAAACAATGTTCCTAAAAGAAGCAAATGGATTTAGGAGATTTATACTGCATAATTAGTCTATTGTTATTCGATAAAGTTTTCCTAACATAAGGGGGAGAAATTGAATAACTGGAAAAGAGAAAGCATGGAATGTATTATTACTATCAAATATAGATCCTCAAATATATCAGTATGGACCAGAAGTTCATCAAAATTGCATTCATGAAATGCTACAAAGTATTTTACTGACCTGAATAAAAAAATTTTAAATCTCTTATTCCAGCTGAAAATGCTCCAATTATTTTGAATATTAAGACATGCCAGAAGCATGAGAGGTTAATCGGTTCCAATATATATATCTTGAATAAAGAGGAGCATACAACTTAGAAGTTATATTGAGGAGGTATGTACTCTAGAAGAGTGTCAAGACATAACTAATTGTAAAACCCCAGAAAAGGTTCAAGTACCTGAAAAGGAAGAAAGAGATCTCAACAAGTTATGTCACAAAAGAAAAAATGGAACTGAAAAGGTAAAGTTGTCGACAATGATTTTCATAAGAATATCACATGATAAAAAGAGGATCTGACGTATAGATCTATCATACAAAGTAGATATAAATTTGGCCAAGAAGAAAAGAAAAAGGGAAAAGATGTGATGAAAATGTTATTTTGATATGTGAAAATGGGCCTGTAGTCCCAACACATATAAAGTTTCTATAGAATATATAGACATTTATGTGAAAATATAGATTTTCACAAATGATTATGATGAGACATATTACTTTGTGGTGAATATAATTTTACATATTTGAATAGTCTGGCATTATGAAATATGCCTGCTAGATGACCCATAGATGAGGATCATTAAATAGTAAAATTCACATGATAATCCTTGAAGGATTCAAAAATATGCCAGGAGCATATATAAGAAAATCTTTCAATATATAAATTATTATGAAGATTAATTTCAGTATGTACGATCCATTTTATAGTTTTGAATCAAAATATATAAAATTCCCTAAAGAATTTCACTTGCCAGAAGCATACAATTTAAGTTCTTGAGAACAAAGATTAAGTTAAATAAGTTGCCAGAAGGAATCAGGATGTATGTGGTATAGCCGGCTAAGTAAATATAGGTTGAAGAAGTGATATAAAAATGATCTAATTTGTCCATATATTTTTATGAAAAGATCTGAAAGTGAGTTTGCTATAATTGTTTATGTTGATGACATAAATATTATTGGAACTCCTGAAGAGCTTACAAAAGCTATGGATTGCTTAAAGAAAGAATTTGAAATGAAGGGCTTGGAAAGAACAAAGTTTTGTCTTGAATTGCAAATTGAATACTTGAGAAATGAAGATTTTTGTGTATCAAATAATTGAGGCCTTAAAGTGTTTTTATATGGATAAATTACATCCATTATATACTTTGACGGTTGTGAGATTTGTGGAGGTGAATAAAGAACCTTATATATTTTGAGAAGGTGATGAAGAACTACTTGGTCCAGAAGTACCAAATCATAGGTCTAGAAGTACCATATTATATCTTATCAGTCATACATGACGTCACATATCATTTGCTATTAACTTACTGGTAAGATATAGTTCTTCACCAAAGACATTGGAATAGAATTCTAGATTCTTTTTTGATTCACATGCTGGTAATTACAAATGAAGTATTTATCTCACAATATCCAAAAGATGGTGAAATATATATCCAGCAAATTCGTTCAAATAAAAATCTAGCAGATTTGTTCACCAAGTCACTTCCTATTACAATATTTGAAAAGTTTGTTCATGATATCAGATGTCACAGACTCAAGGATATCAATTGATGTTATCAAGAGGGGGAGTTAATTCACGTTGTACTCTTTTTCCCTTGTCTATGGTTTTTCCCCACTGGGTTTTCCTAGCAAGGTTTTTAATGAGGCAGCATCGAATAGTGTATCAGTGAATGTGTACTCTTTTTCTTCTACTAGGATTTTATCCCATAAGGTTTTTTCTAGTTGAAGTTTTTTAATAAGGCACATATCTTATATAATGGACATCCAAGGGGGAGTGTTATGAATATTATAACATGTGGATGTCCATCTCCTTTTCTTCTTCTTCCTCTTCCCCTTCCTCTCAACTTCATCATCAACTCCCACTACTTCCACTAGGCATTAATCTTCCACTACTCTATTACCTTTCCACTATGCCTTTAATCTTGTAACTCCCCCCACTCATATTCATGTGGTTCATTGTCCACTATCTATCATTTAAGTACAAATATAACTTATGTGCAAGACTATGCCTATAAATAAGGCATGCTATTGTATTGTGATGCAAGTGAAGCAAGTGAAGGAATACAATATCATTTTCTCATTTTCTTGTCTACTTCTCTTCTCCAATCTATTTTCATTGTTGGTTAATTTCATAACATTAAATATATTCTAAAACTCAAGTGATTTTTTAATATTATTTTTATTAAATACCATAAACTTCAAGATTATTAATTTTTACTTTCTCTCACTACCTTTATTAAATATTTAAATACGGGCATATTTAAAAAATATATTTAATATTTATTCAAACTATTAAAATGTCTTGTAAAAACAATAATTTTTTTATTCATACAAATATTATAAAAATTTCAAATCATTTTTAATTATATTAAAATATTTCATATGTTAAAAATATGTTATTGTCTAATTTATAAAATAAATTTTTAATTTAGTAATAAATTTATATTTATGTAATAACCGGAAATACAACTATATTGTTCAAATCAAAGACAACCAAGCGGCCTTCCCCGGGGGAAGTTCTATCCATTGCAATCACACCCAATGAAAATATAAAGAGAAGACGTATAATCAGAATCAGTTTCCGATTGAAAAATCAAAGTTGCAACAAAATAAGCACCCATCAAATATGTATTCCACAAATACATCAGTTGCAAATCATTCTTGAAAAATAATGTCTAATTTATGATTACATGAGAATGATAAATAATGTTTGATATATATATATATATATATATATATAGATATATAGATAGATCGTAGCCATCATGGTACCCTCTTTCGGAGTCTTACTAGAATCGAAAACAAATAACAAAGCACAGTAATGTAAAACACACCTAAATGCCAAAGGGTTTACCTTTGGCACTTGCTATGCTTCTGATCATGGTCATATTCTGAATCAGTTTCTTGCGACGCTCAGAGAGACCCAACAACTGAGAATCAATTTCTCCAAGCTTGAACTCCATGGCTTGAATCTCCTCTTTTTCTGCTGAGATGTCAGACACGTCAACGCCAAAAACTTTGGCACGAACTGATTCAACCCAGTCTTTGTCGAACCCAAGAACAATTGCTTCACTTAAGTTTGCCTCCAAGGTTGATTTTTCTGATGTGGTAATCGTATAAGGAGTCTTGGTGGCGAGCATGACCAGAATATCAACCAGTACTCTGTAGGACCAAGCTATTATACGATGGGTTCGATGTTCGCGAGGTAGCAATAGTTGGGGATATCGCTCTAGTGCTTCCGCAAGTAAAGCTGTTTCTCCTTGTTTCAACTCCACAAGTTTGAAAATTTCAAAAATCCCCAGTTTAGGAGACGAAGTACCAGCATAAGCAATCTGTGATTCTGTCACAGGTGAACAAGTTAGCAGATGATTCAAAGATTTTTTTAAAAAAAAAAAAGGTATAATTATCATGTAAAGAAAGACACTTACGATGACGGAGAGAAGGAATGGCTGGGGGGATGATTGCTTCCTCTTGAACATTTGAGTGATGTTCTGCTTCTTTAACAGTCTGCATAGAACGAAATGAGAGGGGGGGGGGGCATTTAGTTGTATTTAATTGGTTCTCTTTTAAAATGAGTAGTTGCTTATGATTGTACTGTGAGAGATAGCTTAAAACACATACAAGGGCTCTTATGAATGGAGTTGCCACTGGTGATGTGTCTGTAGCAGTAGCTTTTTCATCAATTCCTTTTTCTTTTTCCTTAGCACTCTAACAGACATCAAGGTAACATGTGGGCATGTAAACTAACTTGTGCAGACTAAGGGAAAAAAAATCATCCATAGTACTTCAATTTCTGCAATTAGAAAATGGTAACAAACTTACTAGTGCAGAATGTTTTCTAGAGAGGTTATCAATTGGTCCTGTACATTGCTTCCTTGAATCTGAATTAATTGATCCAACTGCTGTCACGACATCATCTTCTGCATAATTCTCTTCAAGACCTCGTTCTGTTGTATCTTTGATGCTCTGAGTAATTTAAAAGTAAGAAGAAATAAGTTGCAGTTTCATATGTCCTATAAGTGCTAGAGTACTACCCTTAGTTTTTGCTAAGTTGTGAGAGACACTTGAAAAGTGTGTGTTGTAGTTCTATTTTTCAGTGTTCAAGAATCAAGAATCCAAAATTTTGTTGTTTAGTCATTAGATGTTGATTAATTGTTAAAAAGAAATACAAGTTGGTCTTAACTTTTATAACTTTTTGACACATTAAAAAGTTCTTGATCAACACACTTAAAATCATTTTATATTGATAATAAATAGAGATTGGAAATGTCAATCGGATTGCCTCTAAATTTGTCGACATTGGAGCCATTGATAGCTGCAAATCATGTTTTTTAACAGCTTCTTTCTCTCTTTCTTCGGAGCTCTGAATAACATCACAAGATAAAATTTCCTATAATTAGAACTAGGCAAAAGTAAACGGGAAAAAAAATGCATCTAGCAACTTCATAATTCATATGGTATCTTATATATTAGTAAGGATAATGCATTTTTCCTGGTAATTATAATGCATTTACTTGTGCAGAAATGGATGATACTCTATTTTGCTTCCTTGAAATTGAATTAGTTGATCGAACTATTATTGGAATTTCCTCTGCTGCATCATCCTCTTGAGAGCCTTTCTCATGTGTTTCTTCCATGCTGGCAACCTACAAAACACACAGAAGTTTCTCTTTTCAATTGTGCTCCTCCATAAATGAAAGCATGCTATGAATTTGAGATGAACTTGGTAAACTTACCAATTTAGATGGATCCAATTGCAAGTCTCTGACTTGTGAAACAACTGAGGAAGTAACACTCTGCAAAAGTACCAGAAGATATGTAAGTATCATGTTTAATTATAATCCTTAGATTCTTTAATATTTTGTGAAGATTCAAGTATACAATAATCATCCTATCTGCTAGCTCCTCCTGGCTTTTCATGCTTGTTTCACTTCTTGATTCCGATGGCTTCAAATCCTAAATCAAGCAATGAATAAGGAAAAAGCCATTTGAGCCATTAATTTAGAATGCATTCCTAATTCTTTATTTCAAAAATGTCATAAAACACTAATCAATAACCAATGGGAACTCTTTTTGGTGAGGAATGATTAATGCTTCTGATGAGTTTCTTGGTGCTAAATCAGCTACCATAGTTGCTGCCACTACATCCTCTGAGGTAGGACCACTTTCAGCTCTTTCTTTTGATATGATATCAATACTCTAAATAACACAGAATAGAAATAAGTATCAAATATTGTAATGATTGAACTTTGAAAGAACTTAGTCCTCTATGTTATAACCTACATTATCATCAAATGGCACATTGGTTTTCTGCGAAGCTTTAGTGGTTTTTGTTTGTACAAGATCTTTTTGTTGGAGCAGCATAGTTGATTCACTTGTTTTGTGTTCACCCTCCAAGTCCTATTTAAAATATTAAATAATTAGCAGAAAACTATTTTGACATGTTTCTATTCCCATCATGTTGAAATCACCTAAATAGTCTATATATAAGCTTACATGTACAGATATCCCTCTCGGTTGTGATTTTGCTGCTAAAGTTCTTGATGCTTGTTTCTTTGAAGCTGAAGGATCTTTGACTTGAATTTCAAGTAATGTTTCCTCTGTGATCTACAATAGAAAAAAGATACATTTTATCCTTAGATTAGTTTTGCTTATAAATATATATGTACATATATATTGTGCATTAAGTCTTATCTTTCAACTCAACAACATATGTTAGGTATTTATGATTTTTTTTTTGACATCCTCAATAATTAACTTTATATTTCTAAATGAGTTGATGAAGTTATTATCTTAACTTTATCAGGTATTGCAGCCTGTTAATTAAATATTTCATTTAAAACCCCTGTTCTTTTTTCCACTAAGCTCAATATACATATGATTCCCAAGCTATAACTTTCCAATTAATGTGCACTACTAAAATCATTGTTCTTTTTTCCCCTTGATCCACAATAACCCATGTTCTTCTCAATAATATATAATAGAGGTCTGTTATGGGATTTTTGCTCTACGTCTCCATATATCACTACTCTGAAGATGGAATTGTTCCAACAGGTTTTTTCTCTGTTTTTGAGCTTTGAGTAAACCTCAAAGGACAAATTTTGTTCAACAAAATTAGATAAAAAAACAGAACAATAGATGACAGAAATTATATAAACAAATTTGAAAACAATAGTAAACTAATACAGATTTATTTTATTGATATCACACATAGGAGTAAGCTCCTTTCATTACTATTACTTGTTATCATTTGTTTGGGAATTATATAAACTAACATAAACTAAGTTTATTATTATTTCTTTCAAATTTTGTTCAACAAAATTAGATAAAAATGTTGCCATTGGTGATTTTGACAAGAAAATTGGTCTTAACACAAATGACAATTTTTTTAAAGTTAATACTCCATCTAGTCTTATTTATAAATTTCAAATTTAAGAAGAGTTATGGTTCATTTTATAAACTTCAATTTGAATTTGTTTTAACATTTAATGTTTTTTTTAGCATTGTCCTTAGTTATTTCTCTCACATCACATTTTCTCACACATTCTCTTTCATCCATTTTCTCATTTATTATAAAGACATATTTGAAAACAAAAATATGTTTCTAACCTATTTATTATTTTTAACTAATTTTAGCAAATTGTTTATTATTCATAAATTAATTATTTGAAACTCATAATAAAGAGCAGAGGGAGTAACATTGAAGCACATTTATTTATGTATTAGTTTCTCTTCCTTTTTTATGTGCACATAATAAATATGAATCTTCAAAAAAAAAAAAACTATGATATTCTAATGTTTTTCCAAAAGTCTTTGCATTAGTTGTAGTATCAAAATTATGAACAGGTTAAATTCACTATTAAAAGAAAATAAACAAAAAAATAATGATTTTTTTTGTTCTTCTGATGAGTCTAATATATATACCTCCGCAAATTCTTGTACAACACTTGCTGTTGCTTGATTTTCTGAATCTTCATTTTTAGGCTCTTCTTGGATTTCACTGATTTCTGCAATAGAATTTTTAATATCATATGAATATTCATAAAAGTAGCTAGCAATTATCAAAATTATCAAAAAACTTTTCCTGGATTTATACCTCGATATTTTGGGCAATCTTCCACATCACATTGCAGATCCTTAAAATCAATTCCTTCACAAATAGAAATAAACTTTGGGAGTTTTCTAAGTATTACCTCTGACAATTTTGGAAATACTTCCCCCATTTTTTCCATCTTCTGCATATTAGCTTGTTTGCATATAAATATTTGCTCAAGCTCTGGGGCTTCTTCTATTTTCAAAACCTCCAACTTTGGAAACATCCCACATGTTGAGATAGAGAAGAGGAATTTCAAGCTATTACAACACTTGATGTTAATTTCCTTTAACTCTGGGAAACAAAGTTGATGCAAATGATCCCTATCACACTCTTCAATGATATCAACTAATTCGTCACATTCTTTTATACTTAAATAGGATAATTGTGGGAGGTTTTTCACTATTGAGACACAGAATATTGCTGTTAGCTTTTTACATGCTATGATGTCTAGTTGTTGGAGATTGGGGAGGCTCAAAATATATTTGGGACCCCTGAATATATGCCTCAACTCACTTAGATTTTCCAACTCCATCATTACAATGCTTAATGTCATGAATGGACCTTCAATTTCCACTCCTTCCAAATTAAGAACCTCTTCTATTTTGGAGTCTCTTACCTCAAGAGTTGTCAGCTTCTGCATGTCCTTGATAATTTTCATCAGGTCCTAATAAAAATAAATCAATTCAAAATTTCAGCATGAATTCAAATTACCCCAATAACAAATTGTGAAAAATCCAATACTGTTATTAATGTATAGATGTCTCAACATGCATTGAGTTATATAAAGAGAAACTTTATTTATGGATGCCTGGAATGCTTACAAGTTAAAGACACATACATATTGATTATACCTAATTATATCGACTTGAAATCATAAAATGTATATATACATGAGAAGCTAATTAATCCATAGTTAATTTCTTCTATAGATAAACTTATATATGGTGCAGGTTTCTTCCAAACTGTTAGAAAATTTTTAAAATTTTAAGGTCATTGCTTTTTTCAGTTAACATCTTGTGTAAAAATCTGATGAAAAAAAAAACATCTTGTGTAAGAGTCTGATGAAAAAAAAAAGCAATTTTTTTCTAACTTAAAAACTAAATTGTTAATTTCTAGGAATGAAAATTCAGTAATTTTTTTGGCCAAAAAAAATTGAGTAATTTCATGTCTTGACATGAAAAGTTTTCATGCATGAAAAACGTGTTCTTGGTGTTCGAGTTTAAATGCTAAGTGATCCCGTTGTGATGAGAAGAAAATTTCCAAGAAGAAAAGGTGAAATAAACAAAGTAATATATATGGACTAGTTATCTTTCAAGCTATTTAGCAGAAATATCTAAATTTTTAAGGTCATTGTTCTTTTTAGTTAACATCTCCTGCAAGATTTTGAGTAAAGGCGCACATGCGCACATATATATGGATGAAAAGCAAATGTTTATAAATGAAAAATAAATTACAAATTTTTATGTATGAAATGTCTTGACATGAAAATTTTGTAAGCATGAAAATATATTCTTGATGTTCAAGTTTAAATGCTAAGCAATCCAAATAAACAGAGCAACATGCAGATCACAGGACAAGAAGTCAAATGTGTTACCTTTGGAGCTTTCACATTCAATTGTATTCCTTGTAAATAAGCCACCAAATCTGGAAAAGATCTTCCGTTGAACTCTTGAAGACCCCCCAAATCAATGCTTTGTAGAGGCGGAAAGCTGAGGTGACATTTTTTCACACCAATATTGTTGATTAACTTTGGCACAACTGTAAGTGATAGTGTTTCCAAAGCAGGGAGATGAATTGTATTTGATAAATGATCTCCATTATCATATTTCCCAAAAATGTATTTCAACTCAGCAGCTCTCCAGATCCTCAAAGATTTTAATTTTTGAAGAGTACCAAAAAGAGACAGGGGAAATAAAAACTCCAACTTGTTGCAAGCTTTGATGCTTAGATCCTCCAGTTTTGGGAAAATGGAGCTATAGTTCATGTCATGATGATGATTATTAGAATCATCTTCAACCACATTAACTAATTCTTCACAACTCCATACATTTAATTGAGACAATTGTGATAGGTTTCTGCAACCAGAGATAGAGAACAAAATATTCAACTTCTGGTTTCCCAAGATTGTTATTTTTTTCAGGTTGTGGAAGTTGAGAACATGTTGGAAGCCCACACTTGGAGTAAGTAGTAGTGTTTCGATGTTAACAATCTCTTGTATTTCAGATTCCTTTGCTCCCTCACTTCTCACATCTTCCATGTGCTTCTTAATTTCCTACAACACGTTTTCACAAAAAGGCAATTCAAAATTTAAAATAATGTTCTCTATTTTGATCCATGTGCTTATGAAATACATACACATTCACCCACAAAACACAAACACACTATATTATTTTTGGAAAATATTTTAAATTCAAATTTGAAATCTTTATAGAAGTAAAGCCGAATCACTTTGACATAATTAATTGTACATGTCTCCATAGGAAAATTATATGAAAGTCTTCATTGTTTTGAGAATGTTTAAATATTTTGTTAATAATATATAATTTATTACATATAATCTTTATACAGAATAAAAATGATGATAAAGTGCATTTTGATTTAAACTGAAATAAAAAGATCAGAGTTAGAGAAGTTGACATTAAATTGAGTGTAATAATTAATATATTACTTAACTTTATCTAAGACTCTGAGGTACAAAATAGACATCAAATTTTAAACCAATAGAATTTCTTTTTGGCCATTCAAAAACGGTTAGGGTGTATGTAACCCCACAATATATAACATCTGATAATATATGTAATCTAGAGGCTTATCTTATCAATCAATATTAGAGTTGTGGGAAAATAGAGTAATTAAGTGAATATAAAATTAAGCAATTGGTATAGGTTTAACATTTTACAAAAATATTATTACAATTTTATATAACAATATATAAATAACTTAAAACGGTTAAAATTTAATCTTATCATTTTTCAGTTGTAATTTGGAAACTATGATTATAAAGCATAATTTTTCTCACTTTTTTGCTACAGTTATGAACTATTCAAATCAAATTTCATAGTTTAAATTTCTCTAGGTATTTTTTAAGTAAGATTATAATAATATTTAAGAAGACGTTAGTTTTTATATAATGATGCCAAAGTTGAAAGAAGAGCAGAGGAGGTTCCCTTGCCTCAGTTTATCCGTAATTTTGGGGCATAAAAGGAGACATCAAACAAATACAACTATTCCAAAATAATAAATATAAAATTAGGAGTGTGAGCATTTTAAAGATCAAATTGTTTTAGTTCAATTCCTGTTAGGTACCAGCTAAAATAATTTTTTTAAAAAACTAATTGAAAATGAACAGAATTATTATATACAACCAAGACGGAAGTTATACGTGTTTGTCTTGTACGAATATAAAATAATCCTTATACAAGATACATAAAAATATTGATAAATTGCATTTTGACATAAACTGAAAGCCGCATGACCCATAATAGTTATATATAAAAGTTTAAAGTTAAAATTTTAAAAGAGAATAAATAGATAAAATATATTTTCATGCAAAAAAAAAAACAGAGCAAGATTGAGACACTAGTAAATAATGAATTAAAAATAGTTACGTACCTTTGGTGCTTCCACAATCTGTAGAGATGGGCACTCGGGTTGATGTTTTCTGATACCAATGCTGATCATATTTGGTACATCACGGAGGTGTAGTGATTCCAATGCTGGAAGATAAATGTGAGGCTCATTTTTTTCATGCTCATTTGACAGACACTCTTCATCATCGTATTTTCCAAAAACATATTTCAGTTCATTAGCTCCCCAAATAAATATAAATTTTAATTCTTGAAGACCTCCGGAAAGAGTGGATGGAAATATAAATTCCAATTTATTACAATCCCAGACTTGGAGGCTCTGTAGTTTTGGAAAGATTGAGGTGCAGTTGAGATGGACATCATCATCCTCTGCCTCATTTGTTATAATGTGCTTCAATTCTTCACAGTCCCTAACATACAGATACTCCAACATGATAGTTGTGGCAATGGATACACTGAATAGTGACTGTAATTTTGAACATGCAACAAGCATCATCTCCCTTATATTTTGTAGGCTCAATGGTTGTCTCATAAGACACTCAGCTGAATGAAATGTTTCAATTCTTTCACTCAATACATGTGATTCCTACAACCAATCACTTCTCTTAGATTCAACCTAGTTATATAACTAATCACTTTCTATCATATGATCATATATCTCAATAACAATCCCATTATAAACTGAGATGAACCGAAAAAAAAAATTAATGTATCAGAAAATACATGAAATATAAAGAAGTTGTTAAGCATCATGTATCATAAGACTCTGATTTATAACGCGTTCAACTGGCAACATCATGCCCACGCTACTAGTCAAATAATAGAAAGTAAAAAAATAAAAAACAAAAAAAGCGTTGAATTAACCAAGAACCCTGCTCATGTTAATGATATGCTGTTATCACTATTCACGTGTGCGTGTGAATTTTTATTTTTCTCTTTAATTTTTACTGAAATGAAAAAATCGAGTGTGTGTAGTTCCAACCCAAGACGAAAGCCGTACGTGTTTGTGTTTTGATAGTATATATATTCCTTAATTTAGTGCACTTAAAAAAATAATTAATATAACTACTTTATCAATTCTGATGAAGACTTATTTTATTGATAAATACTACAGTTGTAGAAAAATTGAGTAATTACACAAGATAAAATTACTTTTTTTCAATTTAATGCATAGAAGAATTCCTTTTTTTTAAATCGCTTGTGGTATTCGATTTTACATCTGACTTGTATTCTTTCGAGATTCTTAAATTTAACTCACTAGAAATAATTTTATTTTTTTTTCCAAGAGCTTTCTGTCATGTACACAAACCTCAAAAAAATCATTTATTGGGTCAAAATCTGTACTTAAATATAGAACAATTTTTTGAGAAAAATTCATATTAAATATTAATTAAACTTTTATAAAGAAAATATTATTTAAATGACTGTTTTTATCAGAACTTAATACTGACGAACCGATGCATAAAATTATAACAACATAAAAAATTTAAAATATGTATAAATAAAAAAAGACTATAAATATAACCTATCATGACTCTCATATAAATTAAAAGAAAAGAAACAAGTGCCATGTCACACTTTCAATAAAACCAATCAATTGGCAATACCGCAATAGTTATATTACCACATCTCCCCTATGTTATTAGATCTACATGCCTTAAAAAATAAAATGTGATTTATAAGTTATTCAACTAATAACTTCCATGCCCCTGATACTAGTCAAATAATAGAAAAATAAAATAATAATAAAACATTGAATTAACCAAAATTCCTGCTCATGTCGATGATATACTACCTATTATCAATATTCGTGCGTGTGTGAATATTTATTTTTGTCTTTCATTTTTACTGCAATAAAAAGACTAATGTTAGACAAATTGACATTAAATTTAGTATAATTAATGTATTACTTCAGTTTATCCGAAATTCTGAGATACAAAAATAGCTGTCAAATTTTAAAGTGAGAATATGAAATGTAGGTATATAAATATGCATCAAATAAACATAACTATTCCCAAATAATGAATATTAAATTGAAACTATCAGCATTTTAAATATCAGAAGAAAAACTGAATTAGACGGGGTACGCAGGCAGCCCCCAACATCTAAGGACTTAATGCTATGTTTGGTACATTGGAATTGGGCCCAAAAAATTGGAAGTGGAAATGGAAGTGGAACCCAAATTTAACTTGTTTAGGGTGTGTGGGTGTGTGAAGTAGGTTCCATCAAATTTGATGGAACTAGGTTCCTTGGGTACACTGGGAATCTGGGATAAGTTATCAGGAACTGAAATTTTATGACCATTCTATCCTCAATTATTTTGTTAATTGACAGTCTTGTCCATCATAATACAACCATATTTTTTCCCTTCTCCCTCAACTGACGGCCTCCTTTGAATGAGATAAACTGATATTGGCTCTGTTTGAATGAGCTTGTTTCAATTTAATTGGTCCTGAGTTTGGTTTTACCGAAAATAGTAGATTTTCCAATAATCCTTCTTTGGACACTTGCCTTGGATGAAGGGGAGGCGAAGAGATATTTTTTCAGAAGGTATTTTGGTATTTTCGTATTACAAATATATATTTTAATTAAAAATTATATCTCAATTCCATCATTCTACTAAACATGTTTTAGGACTCACTTCCACTACCACTTCCACTTTCAATTCCACTTCTATTTTTATCTCCACTTCTATAAAAAAAAAAAAAAACTCTTCCATCATACCAAACGGGGCACAAGTGTTAATGATATACCTGTTATGATGAATATTTATTTTTCTACTGAGATAAAAAGATCAAATCTACGTAATTCCAACCCAAGACGAAAGCCATATGTGTCTGTGTTCTGATAGTATATATATTCCTTAACTTATTAGTGCACCTAAGAAAATAATATAACTGTTTTATTAATTTTGATAAAGACTTATTTTATTTTTCAAAATTAAAATTGTAGGAACATTGAGTAATTACACAAATATAAAATTACTTTTTCAATTAATGCATAGAAGAATTCTTTTTTTAATGGTTTTGAGCTTTATCTCATGCACAGGGACAAACCTCAAGGAAATCATTTATGGAGTTACAATCGGTACTTAAATATAGACTAATTTTTTGACAAAAATTAATGTTAAATATTAATTGATTTTTTATAAAGAAAAAAATAATTAAATTACTGTAAATGTACACTTTATCAAAACTTAATATTAAGGAACCCATAGATAAAATTATAATAACACACACAAAAAATGTATAAATAAAAACGACTATAAACATGACCTACTATGACTATAGTATATTAAAAGAAAAGAAACTACAGACAAAATGAAAGTTTAATAAATCAAATATCACCTTTTGCCATAAAAAAAAAAACATAAACATAAATGTTGAATAAAAAGAGTAAGCCCAAGGTAGCATACCTGTGAGATTGTGCAGTCTTCCAGCAGCAGGGCATTAGAAACTCCAATATTACTGTCTTTCGTTGGGGTCAGAAAACAGCACCCATGAGCCCATGAGAAAGCACTTGTCTTGGAGTTCTTATGTCTCCCCTTCGAATCTTCTTTCGAAACATGAGGCGGCCTTGGCACACATGTCTTGCATTTTTGAAATATGTTAATAAAACTTGGTACTCTCCCAAGGCTCACTAGTGTTAGTGACGGGAGCATGATTTCCTGTTGCACAACTTGGCCCACATTATTTTTATATTCACCAAATATGTACTTTAGCTCCGCGCAATCATATATGTCTAAATCTTTCAACTTGGGAAGGTCTCCAGCTAGAAGAAATGATGATACCACTTCTAATTTGCCACATTTTTTAATTTGAAGAGACTCCATTGCTGGAAACAATAAGCTATGACTTTTTTGATCATCAACAACCCTCATTTCTTCTTCTAAACTCTTATCTGCAATTAAACTTTTCAATTCTGCAAAATGTTCAACTACTAATTCTTCCAATAGCCCAAGACTTTGAGCAATAGAGGGTTTGAAAATTGATGGTTGGAACATTGGGCAGTCTTTCAATTTCAATACCTTCAAATGGGGTAGTTTGAGAGTTTCATCTAAGAATATGTTTTGCAGTTTCCTACAACCCTCTAACTTTAAAATCTGTAACTTCTCAAGAAAGCCTGAAGGCATAGCACCCCCACATAATTCTTTCACATCCACACTATGCAGATGCAACTCAATCAAGTTTAAGAAGACTGTCAAATTAGAATAGTGACACTTATAAGTATCAACAAGGCACTCAATGTCAGCCCATTCATACAAGTAAAGCTTGATTAAATTATCCTTGCCTCCCTCTTCCGCAGGAATAATGTTAGGGACAAGACTTTTCCACCCTTTTTCTCCTAAGTTCCCCAGCTCAAGAACTTCTGCTCTTCCCACAAGGTACTTAAATATGGCTTCTGATATTAAATATTTCAGATGTTCTGAATTGAAGCATTTTAATAGGCCATTATCGTCATTAGCAAAACATTTAAAACCACTGCAAGCAATAGAAAAAAATTGCAATGCAGAAGAAGATATATCAGCAGCAATTTCACTGTCAATTTCTTTGTCATCCTCTGGCTTCCAGTCTTTGACATTGTAATTGCTGACAAAATACAGTTCTTCCAATTGTGAGCATCTTTTAATCACTTGAAAAGGATTGTTCTTTTGAATTTCACAGTTCCTTAATCCCAACCATCTCAACTTCTGTAGCTCCTTGATATCTTTGGGCAATTCAATAATTAAACAATTTTTCAATTCGAGCGTCACAAGACTTTGAAGATTCTTCAAAACAGAGATGTCACCTAATTCCCAACCATCCAAGATAATAGTGTGAATATTCTTTAACGAAAGAAGTGATTGTGACAGTGATTGAGTGAAAAGACGTGACCAAGACAAAGATGGAGGAGTGGGAAATTTTCTACCATATCCAGCAAGTAAAAACAGAATTTTGAGCCTTGACATTCTTGCAAAGAATGCATTTGGATCTTTCACTGGAGCATTTCCACTTATCCAAAGAAGTACAATTTCAAGTTTTGTACCATCAAGTTGATCAGGAAAATCATCAGCACTCCAAAACACAAATCGCTTGTTGGCCTTTAAAGTCATTATTGAATCTGTAATCACCTGAATATCTTCTTTTGCTATCCACTGGGCTACTTCACGAACCAAGTCATGCATTTTTACACATTCTTTTCCCTCAACCTTCAATAACAAAGAAGAAGCTATGAGTTTATTTTTCACTGCAAGTGCTCGACTTCTTGATGCACAATATTCGTCAGCTCTGCCAAAAATTCCTAACCCTATACCAAGTCTAATAATAAGGTTTATAGGAATTTCATAGTCCTCTGGAAAAATAGAACACAATAAAAATAGCGTTTGAGCCTTCTCATCATTTAAATGATCATAGCTTAATTTCAAGCATCTATAAACTGTCACCAAATCTTCATCAACATCAATAAATTGCTTAGAATTTCGTAAGGTTGTTAAAGCTACATTCCATTCACCTACGGGCCAATTTCTTAATGCTCCAGCTAGTGCTACAATTGCAACTGGCAATCCTCCACACTCCTTCACAAAATCTTGTGCAAGACCCTCAGAATCATTACTCCTAGCATGAGATAGAAAAAGTGTCAATGCATCCTCATCAGCCAACGTGTGTAGGCGAACTATTTGGTGGCATCTCATTGCTTCACAAACTTTTGAATGGCGGGTAGTTATTAAAACATAGCAATTCTTGTGATCAGGTCCAAAAGGGATCCCAATTTCGTTAAGATCTAGCTTCTCCCACACATCATCTAATATTATGAGTAATTTTATTTCATTGTCAGAAATTGTAGACCATAACAGCTTCGAGTGATCTGCTTCAACTCTTTGATATAAATCCAAACCTAATGACCTTGCAATTTCACCTCGAATCTTATTGACATCTGGAGGATTAGAAACAACGACAAAGATGACTTTATCAAATGCTTTGGATTCTTCAGCTTGCTTGCCCACTTGTACTGCCAATGTGGTTTTACCTGTTCCCCCCATTCCTTGCAATCCAATCATGCTATGATTTCCACCTTCTAATGCTTCCACAAGTTGCCTGAATTTTGTCTTTCTACTCTCAAAATCAATGAAGTCTTTTGAAGCGTGGTACCTCATACCTGGAAGTTCACCTGGACGAGCTACTCTTTCAAAGTTACATTTTTCAATGAGATCCTTAATGACTTGTGTCTTCTGTGCCAACCTCTTGCCTTGTCGGTATTGCCAATAAGGACACCAACCATAAGACCATGTTTGCTTGATTTTAGTGTTCTCTCGAACTAAATTATCAGCGTCCTTGATCCACTTTTTAACATCAACCTCAATTTGATTATCATTTCTTTTTCTAGCATCTTCAATATCATTTTGCAGTTTTTCTCGTCTTGTATCCAAATCATTGTGGCGTTGCTCAAATTCAAGAACACGAGTCTCGAAATGACGAAAATAATTGACTTCCTTTATGGTTTTATCCAATAATCTCTTGGCAACTTCTGTTAAGATACCTTCCCCAGGACATGCCATCTGGACAGGACATTGAAATTAGGAGTTCGAAAATAATAATTAAAAATGGGAAAAGCTGTGATAATATATACTACTTCTGGTCCTTAATATAAGAGCTAATTAAAAATTTTATTTGATCCTAAATATAAAGTCTCGATCCATTTTGTCTCCCAAATTTATAATTCATTCTATAAAGTATCCCTATTCATTACACTTATTAAAAAGTTTCTATCCAACGATAGTCATGGTTAAAAGGATATTTTAGAAAATTCAACTCATATTTATTACAAATACTAACTTAATAAACTTTCTTAATCTACTCAGATTTATTAAGTAGCTCTCAAATTAAGGATGGGAGCTAATAATATCTTACAACTATGCAACAAAATCTACACTAAGATTTCTTGTTAAGTTAGCGTCTAACTACTTGCATTCTTCTTTTTTGTCAGTGTTTTATGATCCAAATTTGATTATCATTTCGATTTCGTTTGGCATCTTGAATAATATGTTTATGCACTTAGATTTGTTTTGCAACCAAATTGTTGTTTTTTTATCACAGAGTTCTGAAGTGAGCCCCAAAACAACGGAAACAATTAACTTCCTTATAGTTTTATCCGCTAATCTCTAGACAAAATTAGTTGCAACACTCTACAATGCTTATCATCTAAAATGGACATGACATCACCATTTAGAGTCCTTTCATCTGTCTGCTTTAACACTATGACTTTTAAAAATTTCTGATATGCACTTATTCAAACCAATTTAAAACTAAAGAAAACTCCAACTTACTATTATGATTATTGATTAATTAATTTTATTTTAATTTTGAATTTTTTTACAAAAATATTAAAACCAATTATCACATGCAAAAAAAGACATATTCATTGTACATAGCTAAAAAATTACATTTAGACTTTCAGGTCGTTACACAAGTTATAATTACTCTAGGATTTTTAGGTTGATGAAATTTAATTTTTCAATTGACTTTAAAATTTACATACACACTTTAACATCCTAAATTTCAAATATTAGTTAAATAAGTTAAGTTGGGAAAAATTTTGAAAAGATAAGAAGTTCAGGGGCAAAAATATAAATAATGTTAAATATCAGGTCAAAAGTATCTTTAAATTATTTAAGGGCCCGAAGCGATGGAGAAAGATATCCTTAAGGTATTTTTGAGGCCTAAAAAATTTATTTAAGTTGAAAATGCCTCCAAAAGGATTTATTTGGCTAAAAGCATATTTTTGGGGGAAAAAATTTAAGGAAATAAAGTAGAAATAATTATTCAAATTATTTAAAGTCCAAAAAATGAGCAAATATTATGAAATATTTTTTTGGGATTAAAAAATTATGAATAAGTTTAATTCCCAATAAAGGCCTAAAACAATTTTAAATCTAATTTTTGAGAATTAAGGACCTTTTTTTCAAAAAAAATTAAAAAATAGTTAGAGGATGATGATTTTTATCTCTGAAAATTTTAGGAAAATTGTTTTATGAGGAAAAAAACTAATGGGTGCCAAAAATGTTTATATAGTGTCCCTGAATGATTTCTCAAATTTATTTGATAATTTCAGTATTAATAGAGATAAGTAAAACGGTCAATTCATTATTCCAAGTCCAAAGATGGAATTCGGCCCCATATAAATTCACTTTTTTTTTTTTGGGTAGAATATAAATTCAATTTTTGAGGCCACATACAAGGGAGGAGATTTTCAAACTTCAGGATATTGGGCCAATAAGATGTCATAAAATAGGCCACATGGGATTAGTGTGCGTGGAACCCAAAAAAATAAAACATAATTCTCCCCTTCAGTGGACCCCATCTCAGTCTCCAGCTCACTCTCATCTGTGATCTGAATTCAATTCTAGACTGCGGACCCCTAGATGATGAATTTCTCGAGAGTTTTTGACTTTTTATACCTACAACAGATTTATCGTAACCTGAGAACATATTATGGCCATTTCTCGTTTTATTTTTAGCCTATAGGTGTACGCAATATCTATCTCCCAACTGTGTTTTGGAGATGGAGGAATTAATTTCCCATAAAAAAACTACTTAAACTTCTAGTTGGTTCTTTAAAATTATAGAAAACTGCGAGGAAAAACACTATTATCCCTCGATATTGGTGAGCCATAAAAAAAGAAAATACGATAGTAAATAAACTATATAGCAATCTACCTTGTTCAAATATTAGGAATTAATTTACCATAAAAAAATCTGTTAAATTTTAAAATGACAAATAAATAATTTTCATAGATTTTGATCTGTCAAAATCAAAAGTCAAAACCATTGCAAAAGTATTTGATAAAAACATCATTATAAGAGTATTATCTATTTATATTTTTAAAATTTAACAGGTATTTTTATGTCATTTTTCTTATGAAATATAAAAATATCATGAACAGAATTTTATTTCTAGACATACTTACCTCAAGGCCGTTGGATGATGTCCAGGACAGACGAGCGTCTTTTCTGTCTTTTTGCTTCTTTTTTTTTCCTTCAAATTTTTAAAAGCACAATGCGATCAAATAACTAGAAGTTGCTATATGAAGAATCTAAATCCGAACAAACTGCAAAATAAAAGAATAAACTTATCAATAAGATAGGACAATCGGACACACAATTATTTTGACAATGGAAGATAGATATAATAATTAATGGGGGGTAAAGGATATAGAGATGGATGACAATATCGAAACATCATGTCCTTTTATTTTTTATTTTTTCTTTGAACAAATTGAAGATGAAAATTGAAGGGTTGAGTTCAGCACTTTTAAATATTTTTTTATGTATATTTAGCATATTAAAATATTTTGTGGTATATCTAACATCCTGAAATATTTTTTGAAATACATCTAGTGCCTTAAAATAATTTTTTTGATATATCTAGCATCTTAAAATAATGTTTCAGGGTGTTAGATATACTACAAAATACTAGATACATCCTAAAAAAAACGAATGCAAGAAAATACCTTGAGATGCTGATCGATCTTTGCAATTTGTATCCTGAGATTGCAAAGATTTTTTACCAAAGTACGCTCAACTGTTGTGCATCTTCCTCCGTCCCTAGTCTTCATCGACTCCATCCCTCTCACTGCCTTCTCCTCCATCTCCAGTCACAGCCACCTACCCACTGTCCTCCGCCGTCCTCCCATCACCTCCGTCGACCTGCGCACACACTACCACCGTTCTCTCTAAACACAAAGATAAACGACAAGTAAATAAGAGATAAAAAGGAAAAGTAATTAATGAACTTACCTACTTTTGCAGATTGCAAATTGCTTGACGATGCCCTTAACAAGAGATGGACTAGTCTCCTTAGCTTTCTGTTCAAATAAGATCCCTTTGAGAAGGAAAATTATTGGAGATCATAACAGAGATAGAGTTTCACAAAATGAGAGAGAACTTTAAAAGGATGAACCAAAAATGTAACGTACTTACCAGGAAAATGAAGTACTGATATAGCATAGCACACCGAGCACTGGGAAATTATGAGACCTCAATGATGAAGAGTAAATGAAAGGATAAGGATATGAGATTTCAAGTCGTCTTAGATATCCGGTCCCCTCCAGGTCAACTTTACCAGTCTTCCTGATATTATTATTCTTATCATCGATTTGTGATTGTGAGTAGGAGTAAATGTGTTGGCCCAATAAAAATGTTTTCTTTATGCCTTTTAAATATTTTAGTATTAAAGTATATCTTTTTCCCCTCCCAAATTGTCAAAAAGAACGGCATTCTCCGTTGACATCATGTTTGCCATCTCAATCAGTATTATTGATTATGATTTTTTTTTCAGTAACTTTACACAGAAGAACATCCTCTATCTGTATCCTCCCGGAACCGGAACCTCACACACACACACACAACTAGCATATAAACCCTCGTGCGATGCACGGGAAGAGTTCACTTCAATCAATATAATCAACAATATTAATTTATCACAAAAATATCAACACATTATAACTATATATAAATAATGATATTGAAATTACCTCCTCTATTTATAAGTAGTACATACTGTAACAACTATAACTTTGTCGCAAGCCAATTAATTATATAATACTATTTAGTTTAAAATTTTCCACATTATTATGATTTCTAATTTAAATATATTTTATTTATTAAATATAACTTGTTCCTATGATAATAATTTAAATACTGTTCATAGAACAGTATTTTGAGTGAGGAGCCATCATGGAGGTGAAAATGAGCCGGCTTGTAGTTGATTTTGATTTAATATTATATATTGATTTAAATACAAATTTTGATGCGTAATAAATATATATGGTCATTTCTCTTTAAATGATATCAAATGTATTTGGTAGTGGATTGTGTCTTAATGATTTAAAACTCGGAGTGGACCGGCCGGTTAGACCAGTTAGACCGGCAGCCGGTGCCCACTACGGTTCGTCCCAACTGGTTAGCTCGTTCTATCATTTGAGCCACTTCAAGCAGCCTTTTAGACCGAAAGCCGGTATTAACCGAAGAGCCGGGACGGTTTTGGAAAAACCGAACAGCCAAACTTTGTCTCACTACGAATGCTTGAAAAAACAAATCGTACATAGTCTCACTCACACACCAACTCAAGATCTGTTCTTGAAATACGAAGAAGAAAAGAAAAGGGAAAATATTGAAGAAGAGAACAGGACATGCCTGCTGGAAGAAGAAGATGATGAAAGAAGAAGAAGAAAAAAGCTCTTCACTTTTGTTCTGCAAATCGAGGGGTTGAAACCACCGTGCATAAATACACTATAAAAAGTAGAAGCCATCTGGTCTTGCTCCTATTGCTGCACCGTCAAAAATTTAAAAGAAAGACTAACAGAAAAGACATCACCTTTATGCCGCCACAATTGGAAAATGAAGAAGTAAAAAACTGAAAAGAAACGACATCCTTGCTTGTGAGGATAAAAAAGGCCATCTAACATGTATTGATTGCAGTGAAAGAGTTGGCCCAAAAAAACAAAGTGAAATGGTTTTTAGAAAAAAAAAAAACTACGCTGAAAAGGAAATTAAAAATAGTACTACTATAATATCATATTCAAAGGGTACAATGCTAAAAAAATTTTATTTCAATAGTATTATTGTGTTGGGAGTTGAGAATTAGGATATATATTATTATATGTGAGTTTGTTTATTTTTATTCTCAAGTCATACAATAATTTCTATATCTATTTTTATATTTATATTATTATATAAGTATATAATATTATTTTTAATTTAATTATTACGTCACCGGTCCGACCAAACGGTCCGACCGCTTGAACCGTAACCCGTTAGATTGTCCGTTCTTTAAAATTATAGAAGATTGATGAAAAGCAATCAAAAGGAACAGAAAAGTGAGATAAAGGTAGTGTTTGGCAAAATCTGAAAAAATGATTTTTGGACCCAAATTATGGTTTGGACCAGATATTTGCCAAACACCTGTCAAAATGGGCAAACCTTTAATACAGGTAATTTACGTAACAAGCCAAAAAAATATGGTTAAATAATAATTCAACTATGTATTTAAATTTTAACCTTGAGCTCTCTACGTTTATTGTTCAAGTATCATAAATAAGATTATGGAAGACGTGTTATGGAAAAGAAACCAAATATCATAAAATTTGAATCAAATTCAATTTAAATGATGAAACATATAGTCATTATAAACTATGATGAATGGTAATTATTGTTTAAAACATCAAAAAAAAAATGATGCGTATTACATTCATGTCACATTGGTATTGTTAGTGACAATCATCACTACTAAAATAGGAAGCAGCCTTCCTCGTCCACCCCCCCCCCCCTATTGGCCGCTTCTCCTGTCGTTTTGGATGTTAAAATTAAAGGCTGACTACTCCCCCCCCCCCAAAAATCAACTTTCTTTGCTTTGAAATATTTTTCAGAGTCAGTATTTAAAATAATTTTTAGCGCACTTGACACCCAAATTCAAACCATGAAAGATTAGCACTATAATACTGTCAATTTCACTACAAAAAAAACAGCTGATTAGAGACGGAATTTATGAAGGAAAAAAATTTCGTCGCAAATTAGGAACAGAAACAAATTCCATCGCTAATTTTTGACGGAATTGCGACGGAAATTCCCTCGCTAATTTTTTTGACAAATTAGTGATAGAATTTTTCCGTCACTAATATTAGCGATGGATTAGCGACAGAATTTCTGTCAGTCGCTAAATTCCGTCGCTAATCTGTCAGAAAATCCGTCAATGAATATTTAGCGACGGAATCTTTTTCTGTCAGAAAATTCCATCGTTAATATTAACTATGGAAAAATTCCGTCGCTAATCCGTCCAAAAAATTAACAACGAAAATTCCGTCGCAATTCCGTCAGAAATTAGCAACGGAATTTGTTTCCATCGCTAATTTTAAGAAAATAAATTACATAGGATATATATACAAGTAGGAGAATACTATTTATCATAATCTATTTAAATCATTTGATTTTTTATTTAGAATAATTTATTAGATTTTATTATAGTAGTTATTTTTTGAATAACAAGATTTTTTGACTAATTGTAAATGATTTTATTTAAATATATAAAACACATATACATAACATAACATAACATAACATAATATAATATAATATAATATAATATATATAATTGAATTATATATCTTATCAATGTTAATTAAAAAATAAATCTAAAACTATTTATAAAAAGTTATTTATGATTTAAAATTCAAAATTAGTGTGGTTAGAAATTAAAATTATATTAAAAATATTTTTAAGAAATAAAAAATTATAAAAAATAGTAAAACAAATATTTAAAAATTATTTTTTCATTAAAGTAGTTATAATTAATATGATCATATAGTATATTTTTAGTTTTTAATAATATATATGTATATATAATTGTTTGTGTAAAATAATATAATATATATATTTAATTTTACATAATAAGTCAACAGGTTCATTGCAGCTCAACAGAATTTTTCCGTTGCTAATTTGCGATGAAAATTTCTGTTAAGAATTAGCAACGGATTAATGACGGAAAAATTCGGTTGATAATTAGTGATGGAAAGTCCGTCGCTAATCAATTAGCAACAAAGGAATTAGCTACGGAACAAATTCCGTCCCTAATCCATTTCCATCGCTAAATAAAAAATTCCGTTGCTAAAAGGATGTTTTTTTTGTAGTGTTTCTATCAAATTGAAGAAACTTTTTTTTACTGAAAAGTAATGTAGTTGACTAATAAGACATTTTTATTTGATATAAATGAATTTGGGAGGATTGGGAAAGAATCCCCAACAAAAAAAAATATTAGTGAAAAGGACCTAGATCACAATATAAATATGAAATTTGGGAGGGATTTTACCGTGGATTCATGGTTTTGTGATAGACTTGTACATATTGGAATTTCAATCCCACAACCACAAGTCTCAAATAAGGTATGAATAATATACTCTCTTGTCTCTACTTCATATTTCTATCGTCAGGGAACGAGTAGATTTTTTAAAATAAATAAATTAAATTAATTTAAATTATATTTTTATTTATATGTTATATATGGGCGAAGGATAATAAAAATAAATAAATTTGCGTAAAGGCAAGCGATTTGCTTAGCTAGAGGCTCATACGCAATTTAAACTAAAACTAAATCTATCAAAATATCCTAATTAAAGCTTTCTGTCCCAATATTCAAAATCAAAATATGAAAGATCAGTGCTGTGTTGATGGGCGCTTCATTTTCTTTTCTGTTTACATTTTGATCCTATACGCATCTCACAAATGAAGAAATTTTATGCTTATCTCTAAAGACCAAGAATGTAAATTACATATAGGCACTATTAATTAATTTAACCGCTTCATTAATCAATTGTGGCCTACATCTGTTCTTGTAAAACCACTATCTATGTTGGCAAAAAAAAAAAAAAAAGTAAAATTGCTATCTACAGTATGGGGGGAGATTTCAACGGTTTTGATCTTAACACACGCAAAAAGTGGACTTGAAATAATAAAATTGATATGCATGCTATTTATTTATTTATTTTTGGTGAGGTTCAAGGTCAAGGAGGAGTATAGTTCAGCGATAACAAAATCTAATATCTCCCCAGAATACTAAGAGCAAAGGCTACATTGTATATATTTTATCTTATTTCACTTGCACAACTTGTCTCTTTATGTTTTTCTTTAACTACCCAATGACACACTACAAAAAAATTGACTTTCAGCGGCGACAAAAGTCGCCGCTGAAAGTACAAAAGTCGCCGCCGAAAGTTTTTTGCGGCGACAAGTCGCCGCTGAAAAGTCGTTGCCGTAGCAGCCGTGGCTGAAAACTTTCAGTGGCGACTAAAAAGGTCGCCGTTAAAAGATACTTTCAGCGGCGACTTTTAGAAGTTTCGGCGGCGACAAATGTCGCCGCCGAAAACACTTTCGGCGGCGACATTTGTCGCCGCTGAAAAGCATTTCAGCGGCGACAAAAAAGTCGCCGCAGAAAACACATTCGGCGGCGACACTCTTGTCGCCACTGAAAGACTTTTCAGCGGCGAAAAAT